ACGGTTACACAGGGGCTCGTTAGACAGTTTACAACCGGCGGCATCCGATCGGTGTGCGTGCTACCAGTTGCTATGTCCTTACCAATGCATTTACTGGCCACGGATGTGGACACCAAGGCTCCAGTCGCAGACGCAGCATGATAGCAGAAGACTATCAAAGTACGGAATGAGAGGCCTAAGTGGTGAACACTATGATGGTTAGAACCTCTGGCAGGTACGTACACACTGACCTAGTCGGGACGTCCCGGCTTCCCGAATGGCAGGCTCACGAGATGCGTTGCGGCAGTCCCAAACTCTATACATGAGTGAGTGAAGATGAAGAGAAGAACATGGTGAGTTAGATAGTAAGAAGCAAGCTCAAAGCTCGGACAGCGAACAAGGTGGTACATACTTAGTGGCCGGCGTGCCTGGGTTACGCAGAGCCATTATGTAATCGTCTCGGCCTTCGGAGCCGGAAGGTCAGTAAATGGTGACTACTACTTAAGTACTTGACGGCAAGCCAACCTCCTAGTCCTAGGACCTAGGTCTACTTTGACAAGATCGCACTCGCAACCATACTCGGTATCGCGAAAAGTACGGGCTATATAACGATACATCCTCGGTCATATTTTCCCATTTCGGAGCCCCCGAGCGCGCTCACGGTGGCAATGACATGCATCATGATCATGATGCGAAAGACGCCTCGAGGACTAGTTGCGGTAGTTCTGCGGGACCATTTCAAAGCCATGTTTCACTTCAAAGCCTTCGTGTCGCTTTTTCTCTAGCAACCATTTGACCAGCATCCACAGGCTCCACCATGTCGATTGTCCTGGCTCTCACCCTGGGGCTCTTTGTGCTGTGCACGTGGTTTGCAAGGGTGTTGATCCAGCGTAGGACGCAGCATCTCCCTCCACATCCACAGTCTTTCGGTCAGATAGTAGCGAAGGTGGGCCCGAAAGCACCCCAGTGGGTCATCCTCGATTCGCTCAAGGATCAACTGGGTGAGTACCCCTGCGAGTTTCGAGGAACGCCATACTCAATCCGCTCGCTCACACACGGTCCTAGGTCCCATCTTCTCGTTCTATCGGGGCTCCACACTCGTCGTTGGTGAGCTACTAGCTTATCGAAAATCGAAAGAGCGACCGACAACTCATGTGTTGGCAGTCATCAATAAAGCCGACATTGCCTGGGATCTCCTGCAGAAGCGCGGCGACATCTACTCGAGCAGACCGCGACTTGTCCTCGCCCATGAGATTGTATCAGGTGGCATGCGTGGTTTGTCCATGCCGTATGGCAAGCAGTGGAGAACGTGGAGGAAGGTAAGCGATGCGCCGTTACGTAGTACGCTCACCGTGCTCACGCTGCTGCTCCCGGTGTAGATCCAGAACACCGGCATGAGTGGCCGAGCATCCCTCGCCTACTGCGAGCACCAGGCGCTTGAGTCTACCCTCCTCTTGCGTGGCCTGCTTCACGATCCGGAGCGTTACGAGTACTACTTGGCTTTGTGCGTGATAGAGGTTTCGCCTTCACTTGAGATATCGCTGATACGTATACATCCATGTACTCAGGTTCGCCACATCGGTGGTGCTGTCCATCGCGTATGGTCGTCGTGCGTCCAACCTGGAGGATCCGATCTTCAAGCGAAACGCAGAAGCCGGGCGTGGTAAGTGCCTTGGACGTGATTTCTTCACTATGCTCATGGCATGACTGTTATGACGGACAGATTTCCAGCAAGCAAAGTGAGTCCGAATGACTACACTATGTATCTCTCTAATCAACATTTGACACGCAGTATCCCCGGGAACCCCGTGGACAAAGTATGTCTGCCTTGATAGTAGACGACAAACAGTGTCACTGAACCAACTATACAGTACCCTGCACTCTTGTACTTACCGGTCAGTTCTGATCAAGTTGCGATTACGTTCGTCCCTGATGTTTGGACAGCGTGCTCTCCAATGGTTCCGCCGAGATGGCGACAAAGCCTACGCACGAGCGAAATCGCTGTACGTTGAGTTGTTGGAGGACGTCAAGGATCGCATGGCAACAGGAACAGCGAAGGAGTGCATGGCCACACGTGGCTTGAAGGACCAACACTCGCTGGGCTTCTCCGACCTCGAGCTCGCCTTCGCGCTGAGCGCCCCATTCGGTGCTGGTATCGACACTGTAAGTCTCACTATGTATCAGTATCTACGATCGCTCAAGGCTGAACCGTTTGGCGACAGACATCTGCCACCCTCGAGATCGCCCTATGTGCGTCAGATGTACCGTTCTCCATGACGACAGGGCCTAGCTCACACTCACGATATCAGGTGCAATCCTCCACAGCCCGGCGTCGGTACGCAAAGCTCAGGAAGAGCTGGACCGTGTCGTCGGCCGGGACCGGCTTCCCACCTTCGACGATGAGCCTTCCCTCCCATATCTGCACAGCTTCATCACGGAGATCTACCGATGGCATACTGTCGTGCCTCTCGCTGTTCCGCACAGCGTAACTGCAGACGACGTGTACAACGGTTACTTCATCCCCAAGGGAGCCACCGTCATTGGAAACCTCTAGTACGTTCCCATCGTCTGCGGCGATATCGGCTCGCTTGACTGACGCGGAAACGCGCACAGCACCATGTTGAAGGACCCAGAGATGTTCCCGGAGCCAGACGTCTTCCGCCCGGAACGGTTTGCAGATGCAGAGACGCAAGACTCGCGCGTGGCAGATCTTCCCTTCGGCTTCGGGCGGAGGCACTGTGCGGGTATGCACGTCGCTCAGCAGTCGATCTACATAGTGGTGGCGAGGTAATATTTAGCCTTGCTCGAGTACATGTGTCTAACATGTCCTGTAGGATCCTTTGGGCGTTCGACGTCGAACCTGTAAAGGACGAGGACGGGAAGCCGATCTTGCCGGATATGAGCGATATGAAGTCGATGGGCTTGACGCGGAAGCCTGCGCCGTTCAGGTTCAGTGTTCGGCCGCGCTTCCCGGAGGCAAATATTGTAGTGGAGAAGGAGGCCGCGGAAGCGGAGAAACTGCTACAGGCTTGGGAGTAAGGAGCAACTTCCCTCGGATTTGGAAGGTTACGATTACATCTTGGATCTCTTCGGCTCGACACGGGTATCAGTGTTCTCTTGTACGCACTACTGCTATAGTACTCGTCCGTCATGATGATATCTGCCTCGAAATCGTTTCTATGCATACAGACTAGATTGCGGGCAAATCTAGCCCGATGTCGTGCAGGAACTTCTCTGTCGTGCCCCACAGCTCCCGGCGAAGCTCCGCATTCTGCACAAGCTTGCTTGGGTTTGCCACCTTGCACGACGAAGTGAGGTATTGCCCGCGGTACTCGTTCGGCTCGGCACGGGGTATGGGCGAACCTGCGGCGAAGAGGGTGCTGCGTGCGCCTTGGGCGGGTGTTACGAAGGTGAGGAGGGCGATGAGACGGTATATGGGTCCGACGATGGGTCCGACGGAGTCGGTGTATGCGCGCACGCCCTCTGGTAAACGGGGTGAGCCAGTTAATAACGTGTACAGTGGGAGGATCGTACCTGTTCGAACTTCGCCCGGGTCGAGTGCTATGCAGAGGATGGGGATTCCGGCTTCGTCCAGTCGCTGCTGGAGATCCTTGATGAACATGAGCTGCATTGTCTTGGAAAAGGCTGTGTACGTACGGAGGAGATCAAAGGTGAGCAGATAGAGCGCGGAGTGGGGGAAGATGGCGTACCGTAGCGGTTATATTGAGGGAAGAAGGTGTCCTCGAAATCTTTGTTTAGATTGTCGAGATTGCGGAAGCGGACATTGGAAGGACAGGCATTATGTCTATGCAATGGAGGCGGCGTGAGCCTCGATGATGAACAAGAATCAGGAGCATCAAAGCTCACGAAACGGTGTTTACGGTTACGATTCGAACATCGCTGTTCGGCTGTTCGGCCGTCCGCTTAAGGAGTGGAAGGAGGGCCCGAGTGAGCACGCATGTCCCTATATAGCTGTGGCGTCACGTTACGAATGAGTAGTGGAGCGAGACGGCTGGGAAGGCAACCCACTTTACCATGACAATATTCTGGATGCCATCGCGGTCCTTGGCGAAAGGTACCAATAGGCTGAGACAGTGCGGTGTGAGACGACTCAGCTAGGTTCCCACTACATAGCTGCACCTACACGGCGGCGTTGTTCACTAGAAGGATAAGGTATCAGCGCCTGCGGGGCGACATCTCCCAGTCGAGCAGAAAATACAACATACCCAACACGTCCAGGCGCTCCTCCTCCTGCATAAGCTTTTGAGCGGCCTTGACGGCTTCGCGCGGGTCGCTCAGGTCAAGTTTCAGCCACAAAACCTGGCCGTTCCCAGGCCCAAGGCCTTCGGCGTGCAATCGCTCGATGGCGGCCTTTGCCCTTCGCTCGTTGCGTGCGCCCATGTAGACCTTTGCTCCATGCCGCACCAATTGTTGGATGACGGCGAATCCGACGCCTGAGCTGTGGAGAAGGTTGAGACTTCGCCTCGAATACCGGCACAAGTACTCACTTTCCACCGCTCACCAGAACGACCTTCCCGGTCAATTCTGGGACGTCGGTTTCGGGGTTGAAGCTGCGGGATAGGAAAGACCCCATCGTCTTTGTCTCTGCGCGCATGGATCGGTGAGTTTACAATCAAGTTCAAAATGTCGGAATGTTGCTCACGTAGCGACAGGTGAGAGCACACTCGTCAACCAGTACTCCTTGTGTACTCCGGAAGCAAGCTTCTTCTCGGCTATCCTAGCAATGCCGAAACGGATGGGGACGAGCTGAGGTGTAGGTCGGGGAGGCAAGAGGGCTTAAGTTAGGGCTCCTCGGCTAGCATTGTCATCAGCTCAACCTCGGCTACGCTGAGAAGGTCTGGACCATTGAGTATCCTGGGGCGAATGACATCCATGTGGGTGCAGTGTGAGTAGCAAAGGCTGGACCATGCACATTTACGGCATGAGTGAACGTCCGTAAAGGAACCTTTTGCCTTGGAGATGAAAGTGCACAACACTATTTGTTTTGGAAAAAGCTCTAAGCCCCCGTTGTCTAATGGCTATGACGTCAGACTTCTACGATTCACGGTCCTGTGGACTTGAACCTGAAGAAAAATAGACATCTGGAGGTTGCGGGTTCGAGTCCCGCCGGGGGTAATGGATAAATCTTTTATTTTCAATCTTAATGCCTAGTTTTTTAGTATCTATGCGTGTAACAAGTGACCAGAGGCGATAGACAGAAAGCCTGGTGTGGTCGCGGAGATTGACGGGTCTTCCGAACCCAGTATTTTTGACCAAAGGGTCGATGAGCGCTTGCTTGAACCTGACAATTGAGAATCGTCCCTGGTCGTCCTCCCTATCCTTGGCACCAGTTCATACGTGCTCATTTCGACGTCGAGCATTCGAATTCCACCGAAGCGCGGCGGAGAAGACGAGAACGACAGCCTGGCCCCCCTCGATCGTGAGTCGAAGCATGGCCGAGTTTCCACGGTATCAACCAACTTGAAGTACCAACTTGCCAAGTAATATTACGCTAGAAGTCTGCAGTATGAATCCGGAGGATAGGCTGACAACGCAATCCCGTAGAACTCTACGCGTTTCAAAATTCACGGAAACAACTCATCATATCTACACGTATTCTGCTGGCATTGTGATAAAACGCTCCTCCTCAACCCGGGCCACCATAGTGCGATATAGCTTCGAGGACTGGTATCACATCAAATTGTTTTCCGACATCCAGGATTTCTGTGAGTACCGCGCGTTCCTCCATGGTAACTACAACAAATGATTGAACTAGTACAATGGAAGGTACTACGTCCAGCTTCGGTTCTATTTCAATGCAAGCTTACCCTTCCGAGTCGTGCACAGAAGCGTAGTCGGGAAAATTAGCGCATACTGTTGACCTGCAACCATCGCTTAGTCACTTGCAGGGTATCCAGTGCAGCGTGGAAGTACTGCCAATCGTGGCAAAAGATCTACCAGTGACGGTGCATCGCAAGTTGGAATCCGCCCGAAGCGCTTGAGACACAATCTGAGCTTTGTCGGACCACAGGAAGGTGAAGTAGGTTGCCAGGACACCGAGGAAATGAACGGCCAGGGGCCCAAGTTGTCGCCCCAAGGAACCCCGGAAACGCAGGGCCACAGGAATCCGCGCCTCGAACCACTCGGCACGATGATGCCGTGGTCAAAGCGTGACGCTGTGCTGCTTCTGCTGTGGCTGGCGAGAAACGCTCCTTTGTCAAAACCGTCGCCCAGACACCTCGCAACCCTCCCTCACCGATATCGGCAAACGTTTCGTCGAATGGGTCCTTTGTGCGGACAAACCCCTGTTGCAGCAGCGTGCAGACCAGGCAGCAGTCCTGGTCGCCTCCTACCTAGGATGCGAAAGGTTCTCTTCCAGCTCGTCCTGGTACTTATACAGCATGGCTACCCCTCTGCAAGCCAGTTCTCGACATATTCCTCACTCCGTCCTCACCGTTGAATCCGACTTCTGCTTCTCCTCCTCCTCCTTCAAGTTTCCGAGCATTCTTTGACAGCATGGATTCCGTCAACCCATACCTCTCCGAGTCCGAGTCCGCATTTGCGTACATCCAACCACCACTAACCGCTCGATATCCGCTGACGTGCTTGTTATGTAGCGCGGGCCTCTCTGAGCAACTACAAGCCTGGCTTGACGCGGAGCAGCTGAGTATATGGCACCATGGGGAGGTGCGGGAGTATCTACCCGAAGGAGAGTGCGAAGGGTACGTGTTGCGTCTCATTATCCGATCGCATACTTCTCACAACCAATCTCGCAGTCGACGGGTCAACTGGTATGATCCTTCACCTGCACATACCCCCGCATCCGCCCGACAGTCATCTCCCTCACCGTCCACCACATCCGTGGCTTCGAGCGTCGAAACCCCACCCACAACCGACACTCTACACACCGCCGACGCCCCACACATAGCCGACAGCCTCGCGGCCGCTTCCGACGATGGCTCCTCCCGAGAATCATCTCCGAGTCCCTCCCCATCCACCACAACCCCGCCTTTAGATGCCGACACGCCGCCCGCCGACTCCGACTCCGCGTCGAACTCGGACGACGATGGCTCCACCAGCCAAGCGTCGACTCCCGCCTCCGAGGGCGAAGAACCTCACTGGGAGCCCGTATCCACCGTCAAACAGTACATTTGGCAAGGCCAGATCCTCCCTCCCATGACCGCAGACGACCTGTGGTACTACCTCAAGGACGAACAAGGCGTCCTCAAGCACTTCCGCGCCGATCGCAAGGTCAAGTGCCACTGGCCGGACTGCGGGGAGTGGGTGGACCGGGGTTGCCTGAGAAGGCACGTTCGTTATACACACCAGGGCATCAAGAAGTGTTGCACCAACGCGGGATGCAGCTACGTGGATCGAGAGGACAACTTTGCCAATAGGCACAAGTGTCGGCACGGGGCCTCCGGTAGGTCTATTCTACGCATGTTTCCCTACTGAACTGTTGGTTAGGGGTCGCGCTTGGTCCTGTCTGACTCGGACTCCCCTTGTGGCTCTTGCTCGTGTGCTCGCTGGAGTCGCTGGACGCTCCGTTTGTACACCGCCTCTGTCGTGGTTATCTGTTTTTTTCTCGATCTCATCTCATATGTTCCATCATATACCTGCAATGTCTTTCCGCCCAATGTATCTCCATCTCATGTATCCGAGTTTCCAATGTCATAATCAATCATGCTAATCAAATCATAGAACTTCTAGGCTGCCGTCGACCTCCGCGCGCAGCTACCGCTATCAATCTATCCCATTAGACACTGCCAAACAAACCCGTTATACAAAAAATTAATGAAGTGTTCTAAGTCTATACGCTCGTCGCCCAAGCCAACTACGCCCCGCTCCAAACCTCAATCTTCCGTTTCCCATATAACCACCGCGGGCGCTCCCTGAGCCCTACTCGCCCACTTCCTCTGCTTCTTGAGGTCTCGCCAGCTAGCGTAGACACCCAGGCCGAGCGCAACGATCGTCGCAACGATCGTCACCTTGATGCTGTCTACGTAGCATTCGCGGCCGATGATGCAATGGTGGGAGGACGGGATCCCGCCCCGTGCGCTGATTGGGAGCGAAGAGGAAGCGGAGGTGAGGACGTCCCCGAGCATGGACGTGGACGTTGGCGTGGGAGAGGCAAGGGAGGCGACCGCGGAGAGGGCGATAGAGATGAGCGTGTTGTTCGACGCCGGGAGGTCGTCGCCGGTGTCGTGCGAGTCGAGGTTGCGGCCGAACATGATGGAGAAGATGTTCCCGCCGAAGAGGGGGGAGAGGGAGACGAAGCCGTAGTTCTCGGAGAAGTGCGCTGTGCACGCAGCAGCGCCTCAGTAACATATACGTATTGCTTAGAGGATGGGACTTACTGAGGCCAAACCAGTCGATGACGATGGTGGGGAGGAGGCCGAAGAGACCACCGTAGGCAAGACCGAGCAACACACTCGCCTTCCAGAGGTTGCTGATGTCGTTGATGGCAAAGCACGCCAGCTGTGAGATCACGAACATCGCGGCAACGAGGATGATGCAAAACGAGCGCGGCAGGCGCAGCTTGCTCTTCGTAAAGTCCGCGGTGACACCTGAGGGTGAGATGTTCGAGATTCGTTGCACCGATGGTTGGAGATGGTGGGCTACTTACCGATAAGAATGCGTCCGAGACAGTTCATCAAGCTGACTGTGGAGACTTGTGTTGCTTGCCATTGGGCAGCCTTCACCTCGTCGTAGTCGGGGTTGTTGAAGGCAAAGAGCGATTGGGATATCGCGCCGACGTTGTTGATATCTGCGGCGCGTACATGAGTATCCACACTCTCCTCGCTGCTCAACATACTTACACATCAGACCAGTACCGCTCACTACAGCCTCCAGTCAGCGCGGCAGAGGATGAAAAGATCAGACATGACGCTTACGCAGTGATGCTATGCAGAAGAGGATCCAGAAGTCCAGCGTAGCAAACATCCGCTTGCCGTGGATGTTGACTACCCCATCGATCTTGTCGAGCTGGCTCCTGACGCTACGCCGTGACATGGATCGCGAGCTGTGCGATCGGTGGCGCGCAAAGCCCTCGTGGGTTGGGCTGAGCATGACCGCATCCGACGTGGCCGGCACGACGTAATCGGACGCAGCCTGCGCATGCGCAGAGCCAACTAGCGGCTCGTCTTCCTCTTCGAGCTCGATGGCAGACTCCTGCGGCTCCTCATCGTCTTCGACGTCACGCGCGAGGAGGTGCGTGTGGCTGTTGTTATCGACGGAATACGTCGTGGGCGAGCCTGCACCGAGGCCTTCGCCGACGCCGTAGTCGGAAGGGTCGTCGATGCTGCCGTGCTCGGCCCTGGCGGTAGAGTCGATGTGCGGTGGCGGGATGCGTCGGATGAAGAAGAAACCGAGGATCATGGGAAGGGAGGTGCCGATCGCGAGTGTGAGGAGGAACTCGGAGGTGTTGCCTGGAAAGAGTGTATGCGCGATCGTGGAGAACAGGAATGCGGAGAGCCCGAAGCCTGAGATGACGATACCGTTGGCGGTTGCACGCTGCGCATGTCGTCAATCTCTCCTCGCTCCAGCAGCTACAGTGGAGGTCGACTCACATTGTGATCTGGCCAGCTCTTCGCCGTGGCATTCATGCCGCCGACAAGCCCGCCATTGCCACCAATGCCGGTGAGGAAGTCGCAGAAGACGAGAGCGCAGAACGAGAGAAGACTGATGCTCTCGCCGTCAGGTAGGCCGGCATCGAAAAAGTGGCGGATGCCGAGGTATCCGGAGAGCAGACCGAAGAAAGCGATGACCATCATGATTGCTGGACCTTTGCGGTCGACGATGCCGCCCCATAATGGCGCAGTGCTATACACGCCGACTGTGCGTGCAAGTGGTCAGTCTCACGTGGACAGATCGCGGAAGCAGAGGAGGACTCACTATTGCCGAACAATCCGACGATGTTGATCTGGGTATGGGTGAGATGGAGTCGAGAGCCTAGCTGAGGTCCGTAGGCTAGATGAGAGCTCTAGTCAGTATTGCGCAAACAGGTGGTTCCTGCCATGCAAGAGACACGTCCATCGGTTGCGAGTACAACCACGTCAGTCCAGCGTCAGAGGGTATTGCTGGGCCGTGTCCGACACTGATAAGACCTCTCATCCATAGGAGGTTCTGCAGCCTCA